AGAAAGAAAGAAAGAAAGAAAGAAAGAAAGAAAGAAAGAAAGAAAGAGAGAGAGAAAGAGAAAGAAAGAAAGAAAGAAAGAAAGAAAGAAAGAAAGAAAGAAAGAAAGAAAGAAAGAAAAAGGAATAACTTCATATTTCTTACAAGGGATTTGTCTGTCTTTTTTCTCAATTGGGAGGAATTTGGAGAGGAGAGAAGTCTAATGAAAGAAAAAAAGAAAGAAAGAGAAAGAAAGAAAGGAAGGAAAGAATAACTTCATATTTCTTACAAGGGATTTGTCTATCTTTTTTCTCAATTGGGAGGAATTTGGAGAGGAGAGGGGTCTAGCGATAAGAAAAAGAAAGGAAGGAAGGAAGGAAAGTGGAAGAAAGGAAAAAAGAAAAAGAGGAAAGAAAGGAGAAAGATAAAGAGAAGAAGGAAGGGAGAAAGAATAAAAGGAAGGAAGGAGGAAATGAAACAGAAAAAATGAAGAAAGGATCTTTGAAACATTAAAATATACCAGAAGCAACGGGAGAACATTCAAAAGGAAACACAGATGAGCAGTACAGTTGAAAATAACATGTTGAATTTATTATATACCTTAAAAAAAAGAAAGTTGTACATAATAGACCTTCAAGGATACATATACAGTCATCTGTTTTCTGTTTTGATGTGAACATAAAGGTCTGCTCCTTTTTCTTTTTCTGATTACAAACAAATCAGAGGCTCTCATGGCTCTAGAGCCCAATCAGTCCAAGCCCCTCATTTTGGAGATGAGGCCACTGAAGCCCAGGGAAGTTGTAACTTTCCTAAGGTCACACTGATAGTAAATATGAGAAGCAAGATTTTTCTCCACCCAGTGTTTTTCTCACTCATTCCGCACCAGCATTTTAAAAGTGAAGAAACTGAGATCTGAGAAAGTTGAGTGATTTTCCCAGAGCAACAAAGTAGTAGGGAGGGCAGTCAGAATCCAGGCCAAGACTTGTGATGCTAAACCAGTCATCCTTCCACTGTGCTACCCAAGCCTCCCAGATGTTGGTGGCAAGTTCCTTAAGTATCACTGACCACGCCTTCAGGTGTGTGATAAATATTTCCATTTTTCAGGAAGTTGAGGGGCATGACACCATCAGGTGGGATAGCCTGTCACATCTCACTCCCTCTGGGCTCTGTGAGTTACTTTGGCCAAAAAAAACATCCCCTTGGTGATGACATTCTCCAAAATTAGTAGGGCTGTCCTCTGATAGCATGTACACAGTCAATCAACTGTATTTGATACCGTTCCAGTTGAAGAGAATGTGTCAAGGTTTGTGTTTATTTGAGAACCCAGTCTTTGAGAAGCCAGGGCCTCTTCTACACTACCAGAAGCTTCCGCTGGCAGGAAAGGGACCAGCAGTACAACAGAAAGACCCCTGGCTCTGCATGCCAGAAGACCTGGGTTCAAATCCTGCCTCTTTCACTTAATACTTGTATGACATTGGCAAAGCTACTTAACATGCTGGAAATGTTTCCTTAACTGTAAAATTAAAAAAAAAGGAAGGGGCACTCTTTGATGCTCTTGGCAAGACACTTCCCCCCTCTGAGCCTCAGTTTCTTCCTCTGTAAAATGAGAGACTTGAACTAGTTGGCCTCCAATGTCCCTTCGAGCTCTAGACCTACGATCCTAAGTTCTGTTTTTGCCAGAACTTGTGAGGAAGCTCCCTTTCCCAATGCAGACTTAATGGTCCAGTTGCCTGGGATTCTGAAGGGTTAAATTAATAAGTCAGTAAATCAACGAGCATTTATTAAACACCAACTACATGCCAGGCACAGTGCTAAATGCTAGGGATACAAAGAAAAGCAAAAGACAGTCCCTGTTCACATTCTAATGGGGGAGACAATATGTGTAGAAGAAAAACTCAGAGTAGTATCTAGAGAGAAGTCGCTAAGAATGAGGAAGGCTGGGAAAGATCTCTTGTAGAAGGTGAGGTTTTAGCTGGGACGTGAAGGAAGCGAGGGAAGCCAGGAGGTGGAGATGAAGAAAGGAGAGCATTGGATCCAGGCCAGTGATGATGCCCAGCTCAGGGAGATGGAAAGTCATGTGTGAGAACCCAGGACCTTCTGAAACTGAGGCCAGGTTATAATCTACCTCCTCACACTACCTCTCTCTATGCTAAATACTCATCAGAAAAAAAAAAATTAAGCCTAATATCAATTTTCCAAAGACATTTAGAGGTGTTCAGAATTAATTATAAACCTTTGCAAACCTTAAATCATAGACAAGTGAGTTATTCTTCTTAAAGAAACCCAGTGGCAAACTTCTATAAAGTTAGCAATATTTCTTATTAATTATTTACCAGTCTTTGTAAAACATGTTTCCTTATTTTTGTAAAGTATAACAAACCTCTATTTGCAAGTGCTTTTCCATTTTGGTATTTTTTAAAATTTGGCCATAACCTACAAATGATAGGTCACTTCAACTGGGCTTGTTAATTTTTCCAAAAAAAATTTCAACTAGTTGTACCAACAACACGACCATGTGTTTGTTTGACTGTATGTATTGGCTAAGGTTGTGTTTTACTTTCTTCTTCCCAGTAAGGGTAGGGTGGGAAGTTAAGAGAAAGGAATTGCTCGTTAATTGACAAAAATAAAATTAATTGGGGGCAGCGGATAGAGCACTGGCCCTGAAGTCAGGAGGACCTGAGTTCAAATCCAGACTCAGACACATAACACTTATAGGTGTGTGACCGTGGGCAAGTCGCTTAACCCCAATTGCCTCACTAAAAAATAAAATAAAATAAAATAAATTGGTTATACTGAACTCACCAAGAAATGCGGAAAAGTTGATCATGAATCCAAAGATACCACTCTCAGGAGGGGTTGTTCCTGTGTCACTAGAAAAAGAAAAGAAATATCACTGATTTTTTTTTAACGGATCTTCCCAAGGAGAAAGGCCTGGGTTCTTTTACAAAACGCTGTTTAGTTTACTCAGAGACTTGATTCATTGGCCAGCTCTGTTTCTTCCAGGGTCAGAGATACTCAGAGAATCTAAAATTTGGCTGAGTTTCATTTAAACACATTTCCTTTTTGGTCCATGCACAGATGCACTTTTTCTCTTTTTTTCCCAAGTGGCTTGGAAAAGAATCAACACGTGCGAAGTCCAAGTTCCAGGACATCATACTGATTATTTTGTTTGTTTGTTTGTTTGTTTGCCACGTTGTTATTTTCCGTAACATAAGTGATTAGCATGGTCACTGTCAGCCACAACACTAACCATAATATCCCTTTTCTACTGTTATTTTCAAGACTGCCCGTCTAATTTAAAGTGCTTTTAAGCACCTGAGGCAGCTCGGTGGTAGAGTGCATAGAATACCAGGCTTGCAGTCAGGAAGACTCATCTTCCAGAGTTCAAATCCAGCCTCAGACACTTACTAACTGTGTGACCTTGGGCAAGTCACTCAACCCTCCTTGCCTCAGCTTCCTCATCCGTTAAATGAGCTGAGAAGGAAATGGCAAACCCCTCCATTACCTCTTCCAAGAAAACCCCAAATGGGGTCATGAAGAGTTGAATATGACTGAAACAACTCACCAGCAACAATTCATAGTCCTCAAGGTCAGCTCTCCAACCTTTGCACCAAAGCTAAAGGAGAATGGACCCAAAAAATCCCATTGGAGATGTGGAGGGAAGGTCTGAAAAATTGTTAGGCTATTTTATGCACTGAAGTGAATTCAGTCAAATCCACGCAGTTACATGGCACATTTAATTAACTGCCTCGATGTTCTGTATTGAGTTTTCAATAAACCATCTATCAAATAGAAGTTCAATCTGTTCTTTTCTTGAAAATACATTGCTGCTCTGAAATGGATGACAAAAGGTGGGGGGGAGGGGCACCTCAGAGTGAAACCCTTGGACCAGCTGGGAGTGTTTCTACATTGAGAAACAGTTTTGAAATACTTAAGTAATGAAAACCTGGTAACTTCTAAAAGTCACACTTGAAAACCTTTGAAGATTTCACCTGAAGTTTTCTCTTCAGCAAGGGTCCAGAGGGCAACAATTAAGTCTTTTGAATCCTTTGAACCCTTCATATTTGAAGTGCAATCCAAATAATTTCCAGTTCTTACTCACAGCACACACCTCAACTGTGTGCTAGCTTTTTAAAGCCTTCTACAAAAAGACCAGAAGAAGACTCTAATGATTTAAATTCCTAGCTTTCCATCTTTTCTAAAAAGGATCCCTTTTCTAGAATGTGAAAAAACACAACATGGCTAACTTAATGAGGCAAGTGCCCGTATTTCATAGATATTCATCAATGTGAAGGCTGAGTTGACTGTCTAGACATCTTTTTTGGGGGGGGGAACAATGTTTCATTTTTTTTTTCTTTCTTTCTTTGTTTTTTTTTTTTAGGCAGTTGGGGTTATGTGACTTGCCCAGGGTCACACAGCTAGTAAGTGTTATGTGTCTGAGGCCAGATTTGAACTCAGGTCCTCCTGACTTCAGAGCCAGTGCTCTATCCACTGTGCCACCTAGCTGCCCCTGTCTAGCCCATCTTTTAAGGACCAATTCAAAAACCACCTTCTTTAAGAAGCCTTCCTTAAAAGTTGCCAAGGGGGTGAGGGGCCAGGGCCACACAGCTAGTATTTGGCAGGACTTGGATCCAAGATGTCCTGGTACCAAAAAGTTGTTGTCATTCAGTCATTCCATTGTGGTGCTCTTCATGACCCTGTAGACTGTCACACGCCAAATGGGGATTTCTTTCTTCTTTTTTTTTAGTATTTTATTTTTCCCCAATAACACATCAAAACAATTTTTAACATTTGTTCTTTTTTTTAAGTTTTGAGTCCCAAAATCTATCCCTCTGCTTCCCCCTCTCCAAGACGGTAAGCAATCGGATATAGGTTATACATGTGCAATCATGTAAAGCATTTTCATGATAGTCATTTTGTGCAAGAAGGCTCCAACAAAAAGGAAGAAAAAGAGAGAGAAAGAGAAAGGAAGGAAGGAAGGGAGGGAGGGAGGGAGTGAGGGAGAGAGGGAGGGAGGGATAAAGAAAAAAAGTGAAAAATAGCATGCTTCAATATGTAAACAATATCAGTCCTCTGTCTGGAGGTGGACAGCATTTTTCATCAAGAGTCCCTTAGGACTGTCTTGGATCATTGTGTTGCTGAGAAGAGCTAAGTCATTCATAGTTGTTCATCATACACTATTGCTATTACTGTGTACAATGTTCTCCTGGTTCTGCTCAATTCACTTTGCATCAGTTCATATTAGTCTTCCCAGGTTTTTCTGAAACCATCCTGCTCATTATTTCTTGTGGTATAACAGTATTCCATCACAATCATATACCACAACCAATGTTCAGTCATTCCCCAACTTATGGGCATCCCCTCAATTTCCCATTCTTAGCCACCACAAAAAGAGGTGCTATAAATATTTCTGTACTAATAAAGTTCTTTCCCTCCCTTTTTTTAAGTCTCTTTGGGATACAGATGTATTAGTGGTATTACTGGATCAAAGGGTATGCACAGTTTTATAGCCCTTTGTGTATAGTTTCCATTGAGTTTTCTTGGCAAAGATACTGAAGTGGTTTGCCATTTCCTTCTCCAAAGAACAATAACTATTAAATATGAGGCAGTCTACCTGATTCACTCTTTGCTATACCCTGAGGATTATAGTACCTTTCTGACTTGCAGCTAAAACCTTCTCTCCCATTAGCATGTGAGCTTCTTGAGAGCAGGGACTGTCTTCCCTTTTCTATTTGTATCCCCAGCAATAAGCAAAGTGCTTTGTATCTAGCAAGCAATTAATAAGTGCTTTATTCAGCTTTAGTAGCCTCATTCACTCAGAAGAGGCTACCTCTGTCTGTGAATTCTTTTAAAAATGTTGCCTATATAGGGCAGCTAAGTGGTGTGGTGGATAGAGCACTGGCCCTTGATTCAGGAAGACCTGAGTTCAAATCCAGCCTCAGACACAAAATGCTCTTTAGCTGTGTGACCCTGGGCAAGTCACTTAACCCCACTGACTAGCGAAAAAAAATTTTTCCTATAGCCAATCCAACTTTCTGTTTTGTTTGGGTAGCTGATGACCTTCATATGAGTTGTTTCTGTTCTGTAAATATTACGTACTCATATTTACAAATGGGGGAAAAAAGGTTAGATAAGTTTTATCTAAACCTTGTCCTTCACCCAAGCACTTAGCACTGAGCTCTGGCCACATGAAGGGCTGCTAAATGTTTACTGTTGTTGTGAATGAAGAAAGGAGTAGGTATCATGACTGAGAAGGAAGCAGCAGCTAGTAGCTCAGAGCCCCCAACCCCTTTGGCTAAGACTATTAAGATCGGTCTGGAGGCAGCCAAAGGGCATTACTCACTTGGCTTCAAGGTAGGAAAAAGTCAGTGATGGATGACATCAGCTAGGGCAGCCAGGGCCCCCTGTCCATCCATGAGAAGGAGCACACATCTCTATGTTAATGGGGGCGAGGGGAGAGAGAAGAGAAAGAGCAGATGGAATATTAAGTATCTGTAGAAGTAGGGGGAAGGGAAGCAGGGGAGGCCAGGAGGGAAGGGTTTCATTTGTGGCTGAGAGGCTGCTGGGAAGAAATTGTGGAGATGGAAAGTAGACAAAGACTGGATTTTTCTCCAGGTGTGGGTTCTTATGTCCATTGAGCATAAACCAAGAACACCATACCTCAAAATGGAATTACCGGGAAAATCTAGATTTTTAATTTCTTTGTTTTCCGGTTTTCACAGGGATGGAGGCTGAATGGCAGAGATAGCTAGCCTTGAAGCCACAAAGACGGGGTTCAAGTGCCATCTCTCACACACTAGCTTGTGGAACCCTGGCCAAGTCACTTAACTTTTCAGCAATTCTTTAAGATTAAAATATGCAGAGCAGGTTGCCCATCTGCATTGGGAGATGGAATCTCCTCACTGGGCATTCCCTACACCAATGAAATCACAGGTCCCAGTCCCTACCCCTATGCCTAATGATAACAATAAATAGCTAATATTTATATAGCACTTATTATGTGCCAGACACTGCATCAAGCAAGTTACAATTATTCTCATTTGATCCTCACAAGTCTAGGAAAGAAGTCTTCTTATTATTATCCCCATTTTGCAGATGAGGAAACTGAAGCAAGCAGATTAAGTGACTTGTCCAAGGTCACATAGCTACTAAGTGTCTGAGGTTGGATTTGAACTCAAGTCTTCCTGACTTGAGACCTAGCACTCTATCCAACCAGCTGCCCCAGAAAGGAGGCACATAACATCTAACTAGAGGGAGAGACATTTCAAAATGAAGCCTATGGCTCTTCTGTTCGGTCCACGTCAATGTACTCATGGGCCCTGGCACCTGCTGGTATAAGGTACTGTTCATGTCAATCTTGGTGACATGGTAGAAAGATCACTGGACGTGGAGTCGGGAAAATCTGAATCTAAATTCTGCCCTAGAAACTTACTAGCTTGTGCCCCTGTTGCCGTGTGCTAGGTTCTAGATGATAAAAAATGTCCTCAGGAGAACCATGGCGACCAGAAAAGGACTCTTGCATTTGGTGAGGAGGGAGAGCATGCCAGTCATGGAGGGATTGCGCCTATGTCAGTGTAGGAAAGGCAGGAGGGAGGAGATGGAACGCTGAATGCTTTAGTAGGTGGGGAACAGCAAGCCGACCCATTTGGCTGGACTTTTTAAAGGATCCTGTTTTCCAGTGACATAACTAAGAACTTTGTGTGGTGTGGCTGCTCTAGGTGTGTGACCCTGGACAATTCCCTTGCCCTCTGAGACTCAGTTTCCTCACCTAGAAATGGTTTGGCCAAGGTAATCCTTAGGGTCTTTCCAGGTCTAGCATCTAATACTTCTACGCAGTTGCTTCCTAAAATAGAGATCTGACCCATCACTC